GACATTACATTACATTAGTAGGAGACATTACATTAGACATTACATTAGTAGGAGACATTACATTACATTAGTAGGAGATATTACATTAGACATTACATTACATTAGTAGGAGACAACTTGAACTTTTGGAATAAAAAGGGGAATTTGCCGCCTTTTCTGTGGTTGTCCAATCAGTGTTGATGGTGAATGTAGTCAGTTGAAGCAATGAATTCCTTAGTGTGTGCTATATTGACCGAGTTCTATGCCTCTCCATGCCTACATATCCCAGCATGCATTGCACGTGAGCTTTTGTTATTTGAAGTGTTTTTTTGTCTTTAAGGGTGTTAAGATCTGCTGCTCGCTGATGGTATCTTTACGCTTAAGCTCAAGGCCCCTGAAAACTTGGTTTCACGTCTACAAAAAAAGACATGTAGTTCTCTATAACGTATTCATGAGAAATTAGGCAACCAAGTTACCACTCATAACGTCAACCAATCGGCTTCATCAGGACTATGTGAGTGTGATTTGATCAGGTTTGTTTAACAGTGACCTGGAAAGATAAGCAAACAAACTCAAACTTTCATTCGATTTTTTTATTTATTTAAATGTTGCTAAATCCTGATTGGTGCTCAAGGGAATGCAACATCACTTGAACTGACTTCAAACCAGTGAGAGTAGTACAGTGGAAAAACACAAATCTCTCATGTGAATTTACAAAAACAGGAAAACTTTCACGTAATATCCCATTGTGTATAGTAAGAAACAAAATGCAGTGATAATCCAAACATTTCAGGAGCATTTGGAACATACAAATAGTTCCCACCACACATTTATGTTCTCTCCTCATCCTGTGCAGGACCTCTGTCACTCCCACAGCGATGAGGCCACTGTCCAGCAGAAGGTCTCCACCATCATTAACTGTTTCATCGACTCCTCCATGCCCCCGGCTCTGCAGATAGACATCCCTCCTGGACAGGCCCAGCAGGTTCTGGAGAGACGCCACAAACTGGGTCCTTACATCTTCAGAGAGGCACAGGTAGTGTGTGTGTGTGTGTGTGTGTGTGTGTGTGTGTGTGTGTGTGTGTGGTATTTCCTTCCAGTATGTAGACTGCATGTGTGTGCCTTTTCTCTCTGTATGTAGATGTCAGTGTTCAGTGCACTGCTGAAGTTCTGGCCTGAGTTTCAAGAGCTGAGCAGCAGTGTCCAAGAGGGGCAACTTCTTCCTCTACTGCAGGAGAAACGGGTCAAACACAGAGCCAGAGTACGGAGACAGCGGAGAAAAGAGGAGGAAGAGGAGAGCGAGGAGGAGAAGAGGAGAGCTCAGGTGAGAAAATGGTCCAAACTGAGGGATAACAACCTTGAATACTACTGCAATAGTGTTGAGAAAAAGAAAGTACTAATTCAGTCTGACCTCTCTTGTTCAGAAAGAGCTGGAGAGGCCGGAGTCCAGTCTTGGAGAGGAGAAGGAAGACGATGTAGAAGGACAAGAGGGAAGAAGTGTAAAAAAACAGTCGAGGGCACAGAGCAGAGAGCTGCTGACTCCCACACAACAGGTAAGGAGCAGTCTGATGTTCCTACAAATGTGTGTACGTATCACATGAAAGGAACCAAACAATTTCCTTTTTTCCTTTTGTATTCCTCCTCCAATCAGTGCAATTTACATCCACGTGCATCCAAAATGTCATCACTTTATCATTTTATCCTATTAGACATTTATGTGCAATTGACATAATTAGTATATGACGTGTTTTGAGAGGTCACAGTGACCTTGGACCACCAAAATGCAGAATCCGACAACTTTTCAGCCTCTTGACTGTTTCAGGACCTTGTAGCCATTTCACATCTTCACTTATTCGGCTTCATTTCACGTCTGAGTCTGAATCTGACTGCGTTTAGCTAACGTTACTAAATCCTGCTGTGTCAGACGTCATGTGACAACCAACTAAATTGTATTTCTAAAATGTTTAAATGTCAAAACACATTTGTGACATTTTGACGTGTATATTATGTGATAAATAACTTTTGAGTGCAATTGTTTGGTCTTTTAGCATAACTCTTGAGTGGGAATTTTGGAATCACTGGCCAGATTGAGCCATTTCTCTAACAACGTTCTTCCCTCAGTTGTCGTGGTCCTACGCCAAGTACTTGGCGGCTCTGAAGAGAGAAGAGGTGCTGCTGAGGAGACAGAGTCAGCTGGGAGCCTCGTTCTCCACGGCCTCAGGTACACCCCCCCTCCATTTGTCTCCCAGGGCTCAGTCAAATCCCCATGTCCAGCACTTTAACTACTCTCTGCTACCAGTCAGACTAAATGAAGGAAATCAAAATACTGAAATGACTTTTAGCCGTTCTCACAGTCGACGCCAACCCCTTCCATCTGTCAGAACTGTCTCATTATGAAGAAGTCTGACCAAAAGAGCAGCTTCAGCTTGTCCATTAGGTGGTAATGTTCTGTACAGGAGTTAGAATACCCTGCCCAAGGTAGAACAAAACATGACCACGTTTTTTCATAATTTTAATGGTTATGGTCCGAGCAAAAACATTGAATCATTATAAAACTAGAGCCCATAGGCTTGTAAATGTCATAGTACTGTATGTTATAAAACTTTGCGGTGTTGAGCAACTTACCAGTTTCTTAAAGGAAGCTGGAGAGAATGTAGCAGGCTGAGCTACCACAACATGGCAGAAGTAGTTCAGCTACAAGAATGCATACTTAACTCTAACATCCATGGACAATCCTGCACCTTACTACCATAGCAATAACATTATAAATAAATCAGAATAATTAAACTCTCTCTGGATCACTTTCTCTCCGTCCTGACCCATCAAGTAAACACAAGCTGGCGTGGCAACTTCTATATATCGTATGGGGTCTTGTCTTGTCTTTCTCTAAGTTTAACATCTGCAGATGGACTCACTACACATTCAGAATGAGTACAGGTGGTGTCGCCTTTTATTCACACAGACAAACAACGGGATTAGAGAGGGGGTAACTGACACATTATCTAGAACTGGTACAAATCAGCATCTTCAGAAGATGACAGAGCGTTTTAGGCCACGGTCATACAGAAGTGCTTCTCTCGGCTACACGTCCATGTATGGTGCTGTTGTACTGTTTCATTTCATGTCACAGCAGAAATGATCGGGCAAATTTAGCTTGTGTGGACTTGATCAATAAAAGAGCTAAGCTACTGAAAACTTCAGTTACCAGATCAACCAATACTGCCCAACAGTGAAAGACATAAAAGTATCACAGTATAGTAGGTCATAAATAATACATGGATTTGCATTTATACAGCGCCTTTCTAATCTTCCGACCACTCGAAGTGCTGTACCCTAAATTGTCACGTACATGTTTCTGTCATTCTCTTCTTGTGTTTCCACAGACTGAGTCCAGAGTTTTGTTTCCAAACCAGAACTGAGGATGAACGGCTTTCTTCACCACATCGTCTTCTATTGTATCGATGAACTTCTAACTTAGTTTGACACACTATGATATAACATTTTAGTGATATACTATACAATGCCTTTTTCATGGCTATTTTTTATTATCTGTTACACAGTGAAGTGTAACAGATACGATGGTAAACAAAGAGTGAAATAACATTTAGTAACAAATAACAAAGCAGTTACTTGCCACTCAGACATAACTGGCTCTCATGTTTCACTGAAGCCTGCAACCGTGATATGAAACCAAAGTGTTAAGAAGTGACTTCGTGCCACCCAGCTTTGACGCAAACAGATGACGGCGGTGCCTGAACGCCGTCATCGGAGCGCCACGAGTGAAAACTAAGAGCACAGCTGTTACTGATGTCTTGATGAGGTAGAAGTCTGAGGCTGGGTTTACACATGGTGTAAGAATAGTTGCTTGAACCATGTGTGACAAAGATATGGGAGCCCTGAAAGGAAGAGTGAGATTTAAAAAAAAAAAAACAGATCTATTTTATAAATCTGATCTAAATTGTTTTCCATCCTGTGTTTATGACTTCAGCACAGGTGAGGAATAGGGTCTCTAATACTCATTTTGGCTACACGAGGCTGACGTGCACTGCTACACAATGTGACTCAAAGCATCGTTTTCCTCCAGGTGACTTTACATTTACATAACTTGCTAACAATATATGTACCTTGCCTTTAGAGTGCATGGACAAATTAAAATTCACCTGAAAGAAAACATGAATGCTTTTATTCCTATTTAGATCGTGGGGTAGTGGTGAATGTCAGCCTCTTGTGGCCAACATTAGTATTACAACAAACACACATTTAAATGGTGAGGTATGGGAATTGTATCTATATAGCACATTCTATAACACAAGGGCAATTCAAAGTGCTTAACATAAGCATAAACATGCAAACTAGTGAGAGAAGGCCAGTACTGTCCGGTACTCTGTATTAGTAAAGAGTCAGTGCCGTTAGTCTGCAAGACCAACAACCTGTTATGATTGCATTCCTACGAGAAAACATCTGCTCATTTAAGGTCAATGTAAACAACTGTTACTTCTGTCAAGAAGGTTATCAGCTTGATTCATCAGTTTGTCTGTACAGGCATTATGTTTCACTTTCATTAACGTTGTCAGATATCTACTCATCTACTCTCCATGTTGATTCCACATTGCGCCCTGCAGCTCCTGAACACACCGATGTTCAAAGAACGACTTCCCAACTCGGGACATCTGACACATCTGAGAAGCACGTGAATGCACCATTGACTGCGCTCTCCGAAGTGGCATTCTGCTTCTCTTATGAGCTGCTTCTAAACTGTTCCAGTGTTGTGTTTTGTGTCCAGCACAGACCTGCAGCTTTTTGAATTCGTGCTTGCTGCCTTTTTCAAAATTGTTTAGTTAGTCTGCTGCTGGCAAACGTCAACTTCTGCTGACTGATGGAGTGCTGTGGGTTTTTTGGCAGGCATTCACTTCTTGTAAAAATCTCCAACGTGATACGATGGACAAAATAAGTTGTGATGTTTCGGGATGTTCAGTTTTATTCCAACATGAACAGCATGCCAAAGCAGCTGTGACTTCTGCAACACAAACAATTTATATCGGACTCAGTTTCTGGCTGTGTCCACTCGTGTATTTCATTCATATTTGCCAGATTCACACTTCATTTCCCTCTTATATTGTACACAGTAAAGGCACAACACTTCATCATTTTTTATGTATTTATTAAAATATTATCCATATACATACATTAAAGGCATCAGACAGAGCTCAGTGGTGCAACAATATAAAAGGCAACAATATGTTTGCATCATGAGGGGTTGGCATCCACGCAAGGTTACAAGGAACAGTTTTATTGTCAAGAAGTATGTTACATCATCTATAAAACAACATTTTGGTTGACAGCTGGTTTCTCTAGCGTCCATCAACATGTATGTAATATTGCACTTAACATTGGCACGAGACACAGTCACTACATGGAGAATGTAAACGGAGAGCTTGTTCTGCAGAGTGAAACATTGCGCAGCGGTTTGATGGAAATGGAACAGATTAGTTGTGTACTGCAACACTGAGGTTTCACACGGACTGAAAGAGCCCCCATTTAAAGTTGGGAGGAAACGCTGTTGATCCGAGGAGGTTTAAGTTGACACAACTCTTTGTTGGTTTTAGTGTTTACTATAGTATGTGCTCGGTGAAATGTCTTAACTTACATGTGTTTCTAAGATTCAGACTGATTCTCATTCATGTGATGAGCTTGTTTGTATCTGTAAAAATATATCTTTCAAATGCAAGACTTTTCTCTACATCCCTAAGGCATGAATGACCAGGTGGACTTACTTTAATAAAAAATTAATTCTTATTTTACCTCAACATATCTTTTGCATAAATGTGTAGTTATTCTTTCAGAGTAGAGTGTATTTTTAAGGCTTATTTTGAATCAGATTTTTTTTTTGTAGCAAATCCACATATGTGTTCCTGTGTATTAGTGGAATCCGATGCGTAAAGCTTTATTCTTTACCATGGTGAACTTGCTGACAAACACCTTGGCGAAGGCGGGACACACCAGGTAGCGGTAAGACTTGGTCACGGAGGGCGGTGGCTCCGCGAGCGTCACCGGGAGCTGCTGCTGGAGCGAGGCGGCGGAGGGGGAAAGGAACTGAGAGGCCCGCGTCACGTAGTCCACCAGCCGCCGGTACTGCTGCTCTGACAGACGCTCCCGAACGCCGTCACCCTGAGGGGGGAGACAGACTGATCAAATGACTACCAATACATTGGTCCTGATGATGCGGGTGGTGTCCAATAATGAGCCGTCAATGACACACGATGGAGCGTTTTCTTATGCAAATCAGAAACTACAGCAGCTTATTAATATCAACGCAGACAGAAAATAATTAGTGAAAATAACTGAACTACTCATGGTTAAGAATCATTTTAGGGTGCAATCCCCGCTCTGAGGTCATGGCCTCTTAAACATTTGTCAGAGGAAACATGTATGTTGTACACTAAGCCAATGTCCAAGAGACTTCCAAACAAAGTAGAATTGTTCACAAATATTGCTAAATAAGGTTCAGGCGCTTTAGCACACAGACTGCTGTGAAGATGCAACAAGTGTTACAAATAATTTAAATATATTTTCAGAATAATACTGTCCCTACTATATAGCATCGCTCCCTTTTAAAAGTTAGATGTGGTACATAATGTTTCGACAATGAGCCTGTATGAACAGTGCATCAATTAAACACTGTATCGTTCCTCTTTGATTTCCACCATGTGGCCCCTGTGCAGCTCCATTACTCAGAGTCTCACCTCTGTGTCGCTGGCTACTGTCTGCTGCTGCAAGGTGAGGGTGAGCTGGCCCTGCTGCCCCGGCTGCTGCTGACACTCCACCTGAGAGGGACAGGAGGTTGGGCGCTCTTACTTCACAGCAACACACAACTAAAAGATTTTTCTTTTTCTTCCCGACTGCTGTCAGTTACCTCTGTGATGGGGAAGGCCTGCTGCTGGGTGTCCTCGCTGAGGCTGACCACGAACAGCACCTCGGAGGTGAGGAGAAGACAGCCGGCGTGCTCCTGGCCCGACCCGCTCACGATGGTCACCTCCAGGGCCATGTGGAGCTCCGGCCGCCCCAGAGACTGGAGCATCTTCCTGTGGAGCAGAGAGCCAGCGAGGACAAGTTATGACACATTACGCTAAATTCCAGCTTCACATAACACGTAAGACTAAGGCTAGGTAGTTTTATGTTTCATCAACACTTGTACTGCAAGTCACAATCCCCCACACACACACACACAAGACTTCTCCTGCATGGATTATGTGCATACACACACACAGGCCTCTAGCTATACACTTTCCCCGATCAACACGAGACCACACAAGGTGCCCCGACTCACCTCAGCACACACAAACACGCGTCTCTGTACATCCTGTAATTTACATTTCCACACACTCTCTGCAGCGGTTCCTGTTACACACATGTTGGATGGGAGAATATGTGTGCGGCGGGACCTGCAGTCTTCAGTCATGTTTCTCTGACAGCTTGTTTACTTTGGAAGGCAGGTGCTCAAATTGCGGCGCAGATGTGGAAGCAGCCACAAGTAGGGACAGTTTGGTTCTGTTCAGTGTTACTCTGCTCATACGGGCTGACCCCTCCAGTGTCTGGGCTACCTGTAGTAGTAACAATAATTGACGGATGCCTGATGGAAACCAGTTTGACTGCAATGCAGCATGAATAAAAAGCACAGGGGAGCATTATCTCAGCATTCATGTATTGTTTTTCGTCTTCCTCTAACATTAGGACGACATGCTGCTGACCCCTCGGGTGATGACAACTTAAGTGGAATATCCTAAAGAAATGGCAGTTGACAGTCAACACAGACTGCTATTAGAAGTAAATGTTTGATAGCTATGGAAACCAAACTAAATTGCGGAAAAATCATTAAAAAAAATGCCATAAATGCATTTTTTCTGCAGCTCCCGATAACCTTCTGGAGAGACAGGCCTCTTGTAAATTTTTATGATAATATTAAGTGCTGTTGAGCTGAAACACTCATTTCTGATGCAGTGCTCTCGATACCACTGCCATATTTTCTTTTCTTCTTTTTTTTACAACAAAAGACCCGACAGTAACCTTCTGCTTGGCACAACCTGCAACCTCCAAACCGTTCCTGCACACAAGGGAAGGTGTTCCTCCATCCGATGGCACTGGGAAACATCTCTGGATAGACTCACAGTTAAACAACAAGAATCAGTTCTAGCCGCCGGCTTTGGCAGAGTGCTTATAAAAACCTTTTAACATGACTCGATGAGAACAGGGGAGGGCAGGCTGGCTACCATGTGTGGGATCAAGGTCATACATTTTTCCAGAGTCTGTTTTTGGGGGGAAAGTGGGTAATGAACCGTCCAAGTTCTTTCTTCTTTTTTTTTTTTAAAAACAAGACAAGCAAAAATGATGAGAGGTAAGAGGGAGAAACAGAACAGCCGATCCTGGAGAGACTCCAAGAAAAGCAAAGGCGAGAACACATGTCCCACTTCTAACGAATCGCTGGACAAAAGTGAAGGAGGAGCCTGCGGAGAGGACGAACGGCTCGGGACGGCCAGGGGTTTCATACCAGACATATTTAAGGTGGCTGTTTGGGGCCTGAGAAGACTTCTCCTCTGTAGGCAGGTACAGGTGTTTAGGGAGCTGCCACAGGCCGGCTCCATGAAGGATCCCTGTCAGAAGAGACAAAGACAAACAAAGACAGTCAACATCATCAGTTATGCTCAACATGCTGTTCATTGCATTATTCTCCGAGGGCGTGCAAACAAAATGTACTGAGAAGAAGCAAGAAGACGACGAGTGTAACCTGCAAAACGCCATAAACCAAACTCCACTATGCTGCAGAGGAAATGTAATGAACTGTTCACTCATATCTCACATTCATGGGCTACTTTATTGCCTTTGGACCTGCAGAGAAAGAACTCAAGTATTAAATGTATTACAAAGAAACAAAAGTTGAATATCCTGTGAACAATTTGATTTGGCTGCAAAATATTTACTGAAATGTAGATTTCTTTAAAACGAATGGACGAATAAGAGATGTAAATCGTGCTTTATGGCGAGCATAAACTAAGTTTAGTCTCCTGTGTTTGACAGTGTTGAGGGTCATGCACAAGGCCGACTGGCGCCATTCTCACTTAAATCCCTACAACAAGCTGATAGACTGGACATTGGATGTGTGTGTCTGCATTCATCCAAACACATGATTGGCTCTGTGGGCACACGTCACAGCGAGTTCATAACCCACGAGCGTGTGGTCAAGTGTTCCTTCGTCCCACTCTATGGCTCGATTTTAACTATTCGATGACTTCACTGCTGCTGCTGCTAAAGAACACAATGAGAGCCATTAATGATGCAGTGCAGTGGTCCTCTGCAATGCTGCTCTGAGTGAATGAGAGTGTGTGTGTGTAGGTATATCCATGTGTTTCATAATGACACGGTTGTTCTGCAGATATTACCAGCCGATGTGTTTCAGGTGGATCAGAGCTCTTACACAGCGCTGTAGTTTATGACCTGTTAGCAACAACACACCCCACCTCCAGCTACCGCCAATAAAACTCAAGCTAACTCCAAAGACTTCTACAAGTGTTTGTGCATGTACAATTAGGCTTATATATATATGTGTGTGTGTGTGTGTGTGTGTGTGTGTGTGTGTGTGTGTGTGTGT